TACCCGAAAGCAATGCTCCAAATTCTTGATCTTCAATCCAAGATTTTCAAGCTCCAAGTGGTTCCTTCACAAGAAAAATACACAAGTTAAAGAACCAAATTAATAAAATTCTATTTTAGCATCTTCCCCGGCAACGACGCCAAAAACTTGATGTGGCATAATTATGTACCAAAATTGCAAGTGCACAATTGATCAAGTTATAGTATAAAAATATCGATCCCACGAGGAAGGTGGTTTTAAGAGATTATTAGAAATGGTTCATATGTTTTGTGCGTGACAATTAGAAATAAAGAATAAGTGTGATTGTGATGAGTGATTGTTGTGAATATTTGCAAAAGATAATAAATTGAATTTTAGAGGAGAGAAGAAAGAATTAAAGAATAAATAAAATCATAAGGCAAGAAAGATGAATGTATAAAATCAAGAAATAAAACCAATAATGAAAATAAAATTTAAGAAAGTCAAGATAGTGGATTTAAAAGAGGTAAGAAATCTAGAATATAATCCACTAACCAATTTCAATTACAAAATATAAACTATTCTCTTTTTATCATATTTCAACTTAGATTTATTAAGCATAGATTATCAAACCATTTAAGGAAAGTGTAACCTATCAAATTATCATCTAAGTCAAAATTACTATTCATGATAAGAACAACAACATGATAATAATCCTAGAATTCATAAGAATAACCTATCAAACCATTTAAGATAAGCATAGATTATCAAATTCTTCTTCTACCGATTAGTTCTCTAGTTGATTATCCTAAACATGAACATTTTGAATGCAAGAGAATAATTCATATAATATAAAGGAAATTAGACAAGTTTCATATAATTCTAAGATTCCTACAAGAATTAAATTCACATTTTAAGAAATAAAAACAAGAAAAAGAACTAATTACAAATATAAAAAGAAAAAAAATCTAAACTATGAACAAGAAATAAATCTAATTACAAAGAAAATAAAAATCTAAACTACAAAATAAATAACAAAAATTAAATGCAAGAAAAATAAATTTATTCTACAAATTAAAGTGCAAAAAGAAATAAAAATGATAAGAAAATAAATCTACACTACAAGCATGAATTTAAATCTAACTAATAAGCAATAATAAGGAAATTACTAAAAAGAAATAAAAGAGAAAAAAAATGCAAACATTCAAATTGCTCTTCATCTCCATCCTCATCATTCAACAAAGAGGAGAAAGAACAAATTTAAAGAGGAAAAAAAATATTATTATTAATTGCAACTAAAGGTATAATTTTTGGAAGGTCTTCTCAATTAAGAGTAGCCCTCCTCTCCAAAAGGAGTTACAAAATTTTTCACATCCTTAATCCCTCACTCTCTACCCCTATTTATAGTAATCTTCAATGAATATGAGTCATTGGATTTGTCTTGAGCCCCAAGCAAAGCAATCTCCACCTTTGAATTTGTTTTTTGTTCTTCTCTAGCCCAACATAAGGGGCCCATATGATTTTCAAAAGAAAATAAAAATCCAAGTCCAATGTAAAAAATCAAAGCTGCAGCCTAAGTCTAATGGAGCTTCAAAACCGAAAATGATAGCAAGTCTCCAGCCCAATCTTCATTTGATTTTCCAAGGCTCAATCTTCATTTGATTTTCCAAGGAGAAAATGAACAAGCAAGTCCAGCCCACACAATGAATTTCAACTTCCAAACTCTGCAGCAACCGGTCATTCGGCCCTATTCACATGATTTTCATTTGATGAAAATCCAAGTCTCCGGTCTGCAGCAACCACATCCGGCCCTATTCACATGATTTTTATTTGATGAAAATCCAAGTCTCCGGTCTCCAAAAAATGCAGCAGGGGAGCTTTATTTGTTGATGGGCTTTGGGCCTTCAAGCTTGAGAAAATTCACTTGTGAAAAAAAAAGAAGCTGCCATGGACATTTGGGATATTTGGGCTTTTGGGCTTTTAAAATTCAAATATTTCATTTGGCTTTTGAATTTCTCTTATTTATTCATTTACTCAAGGGCCTTTGTTGAGAGATGAGATTTTTGGGATTTATTCTTTATTAACCTGCAATTAAAGATAAAAGCAATTATTAGTGGTATATTTATTCATATAAAATTAATAATGAGGGTATAAAATTATAATAAAATATGATTATCATGAGTTATTTTTTATATACGACAAAAAATGACCTCCACATGGAGGATTTTTTCGACTCAAGCTTTCAGAGGGATATCGATGATAGTAAATATGTATCAGGATATGTTTTCACCCTCAATAGAGAGGCTGTCCGCTGGAAAAGTTCCAAGCAGGATACAATGGCAGACTCGACTATGAAAGCTGAATATATTGCGATAAATGATGTAACCAAAGAAGTTTTCTGGATGAGGAAGTTCCTTTCAGAGCTGGAAGTTGGTCCCACCATTAAAAATCCAATACCATTATACTGTGATAGTAATGCTGCAATAGCTCATACATAAGAACCCCGGTCTCACCATAACTCCAGACATATTCTGAGGAAGTATCACTTGATCAAGAATATAGTTGATCGCCAATAGATCAAGATTGAAAGAGTAGACACAAAAGATAATATAGCAAATCCATTCATGAAGGCAATTGCTCGTACACAATTTAAAAAAATTGTTGAGCTATTGGGTATTAGGTACTACAATGATTGGCCTTAGTGCAAGTGTGTTAGATATGGGTGCCCTACAAGTAATAATTGTATATTATAAGATGACCTATATGTATATAACATTCTTGTTCAAAATGATACTATGTTGTTTTGGTCATATTTATCTGGTATTTTTTAATACAGTTAAAGTCTTTAGAATAATACTAGACTATCAGATATTTTGGATAGTGATCGAAATGAAGAGATCTGATTTGTCATGAATGTATATTCTTAAATATTCCTAGTTGATGAAGTGTTGAGATGAGACATCATCATTTTGATAAGACTAGTGTTTGCTCTATTTCTCCTTTTGAAGGAGATGATCCATTTCTTAGATCATTGATGTGAGATATCAAGATACAATATATATGTGACTCATTAGTGAATGAGTTGACTGAAACACTCACCGAGAACATCTAGTTGGTAATATACTTAATTGTCAAATAAAAATTCTCAAGTGATGTAGTACATAGTAGTCTCTTGAGCCGAGGCATGAGTGCAATATCTTATATGTTAGTATAGATATACTTAGACTTTTACCTAACCATAATTCTTATTGAGTTATGTATAACGGTTCTTGTTAGGTACATCCTGGGACATAAGTAGATATTGAGATGCAAAGAAAGGATTCGTCTCTCTTAGTATAAGGGGTAGATATCATAAGATTGTTTTATATAACTATAGCCTGTAAATCCTTGGTCAAGGTGAATAAGATAAACTGAGGGTCAGTTTTATCTTATAATTTATGAGTTTAATATCAACAAACACTAATCAAGATATTAGGGTTTGACAGCTTACCATACCCTAGGCTCGATAGTTTAACATGATTTGATGAAGAGACCGGATTATACGGTATTGTCACTAAGTGGTCCTGAAAAAATTGGTTAAACATCTTGCAGACCTTTATCACAATTTATACCCGAATAGTCTTCATGGGTAGGTAGCACCTCTGTTGTACTTGTGGATATGATCTATTGTCGAGTTTTAAGTTGGGCCCTAGAGTCACACCAAGCGCGTACTTGAATCCTATGAAAAACAATTTATACAGTAATGTGTATGATTGATACGCATATATAATTTTTACCGGATACACATAAACGGTTATATGTATCGGTAAAATCAGAATTCTATGTGCTTAAGAAATAATTTCCAAATTTTTTTTTCATAAAGTTAACTTTTATTCAACTGGTTGACTTTTTGGTCAACGGATGATTATTGGTTAACCGGTTGACTTTTTGGTCATATGATGACTTATTAGTTAAAGATTGGAATAATACTAAATATTGTATATATGAAATACCGTATTAGTAATAGTGATGTGGTATTCTCATTTATAAAATACACATTTCATTATACTCTGATTAATGAGTAATGGATGAGTTATTAAGGGGTATGGTTTGGGAACATAGTTTTTAGCTTATGTTTTTAACATATAATGATTCATTAGATGAGTAATTGCATGACTCATTAGATGAATCATTATTTTTGATGATTTATTGCATGACTCATAGGATGAGTCATTGATATCATGAACATATTTCACTCTATAAATATTATATCTCTCTCTTCATAAAAGGTTAATGAAAAATTGGTTTTCCATAAGAGAATAAAAGAGAGCTCTATCTCTTACTAAACTCTAGCAATCTTTGAGTAAGAGGAGGTAGTAGGATTTTAAGAACCTCAGAGTTGATATCTTGTCTTGTGTCTTAAGAAGCCTCCAATTTTTTCATGTTCACTTGATGTTTTGGAGATCCGCTACGAGGTGGTTTACTACTACAAGGAGAACAAGCTAGGGGTCGTTCGATCTACCATCGAATCACACTTTAAAAGTATGATGTTGAAACTCTTGGATGCTCTCTTTATTATAGGCTTCATGTTAGATTTAATTAGATGGTCCTGGTGTATATTTCATGCTCTCTACATGCTTAGTATTTTTGTACATACAGTCTTCCGTGGCGTATTATACATGTAGACATAGCATGATTTTCCAACACTTCCTTGCGCACTGTTTAAGTCTTAAGAGTTATATCTACAATTAGCTTTGTATCTGGCTAAAATGAAATCCATATCTAATGCACATGACAAACACCTTAAAATACCAAATTCTCCATAAAATTGTAACTCATTTGTAGCCTTGTAGCAATATGCGTTTTAAATATAACAACATACATGAGTCCTAGACCCCATGCTAGCTCTCGAGATTTCAGTATCCAAGAAACGTTCAAAGTTAACGGACAGATATAAATATACATGGGGATGCAATATTTTAGACCTTGGTGCTGATCAAAATGTAGGTTTTCACTAAAGGATAATCACTCATCGTTCTCTTCTTTCATCTTAAACATGAAAAATCGCAATTATTTCGATCATAATCTTGATCATGCTGTTTTCTGTTCAACGCTTCGGCATAGATAAAGTGGGTTATGCGTTTGCGCCTATTATCCTACTCTGGTTCAGTCTTATTGGTGGTATTGGCCTGTACAATTTATTCAAGTATGATGTGACAGTTTTGCGCGCATTCAATCCAATGTACATTATAGACTATTTCAAGAGAAATGGAAAAGAAGGATGGATCTCCCTTGGAGGTCCAAAAATGGAAAAGTCATCCATGAAAATTTTGAGAAATCGCTCTACCATGTCGGAAAAAATACTGATCATGCAACGTTGGAATGTGGCCGGTGCATTGCACAGGCCAAAAGGCATGCGTCGGTATGCGAATGTTCCATACGGGCAAGTGTAGGTGGTTTTCTCCTAATCTTCTGGAGCGATAGGGATTTGATTGTAACCTGAATATCCATCCAGGAAACAGTAGAACTCGTGTCCAAGGATGGATCTCCCTTGGAGGTGTTGTGCTTTGCATTACAGGTATTTAACTCATCATGATATTTGCACTGAGCCTTATTAGAGATTGTGAAAAATGACGTGGACCCAAAATACTCATAAAACAGGTGCTGAAGCAATGTTAGGGCCACTTCAATGTTAGAGCTATTCAGGTACTTATATACCCTTTAGACATTCCAAAATTGCCTTCAAATGTTTTAGGCCTGTTTAGAGTTCAAAATCTTATTAAGATTCTACAATGTTTTCCTAGATTGATAATAGCTATTTCTTCCTATGGCACTACCAACCAAATATATCGAAGACTATAACTGTTTGTTTTACTTCTTTGCATTCCTCACTGCGTCCAAGCTTACATCTTTCCTAAATAATTTCTAAAAAGAATCTAGATTCTCTATTCTTTACCTTAATGAATGATCTTGGCAATCATGCCTTATGATACATTACCTATGTATTTACCATGTAATTTAGTGATCGCATGAATATGCTTCACTGGATTTGTATTCGCTATGGAACACAGATAGAGAGATAATGGGGTGATTAGTGAATAGCACAAAGATTGCACATGTGACAATGAACTCCTCCGAATTTCATACAAAATAAAAATAAACTAGAAGGATATCTTTGTTTTTTAGCAAGTTTTATTCCGTAATTGCTTGTTCATTTTGATGCCAAGCTCTTATGAAAATGTAAACTCAATCATCCAAATCTTCAATTACAGATTAGCTTCGTCGGGGCTTTGCTCCCTGCAGTATCACTAGCATATATATACATCGGGCAAGCTGCATATCTAACCAAATATCCGGAAAATGTTGCTGACACTTTCTACAAATCACTTCCAGGTACTAAAATACATATCTAATGTGATTTAAAATATCTCTATTATTGACAGTATAAGAGATTGTGTGATGAATAATATAGCTTAATTTGATGTAGGTCCATTATTCTGGCCAACATTTGTACTCGCTATTGCTGCTGCCATTATTGCAACCAAGCTGTGATAGCTTGTGTATTTTCAATCATAGCACAGGCTCAAACTCTAGGTTGCTTTCCAAGAGTTAAGGTTGTCCACACTTCTCCGAAGTATGAAGGACAAGTGTACATTCCAGAATTAAACATTGCGCTGATGACCGCTTGTATATTAGTGACGGGGAGCTTCAGAACAACAGAACATATAGGCAATGCCTATGGTAAGGATTTTGTCAACATCATCATTATTTATAATGGAAGTTCATCCAATTTTTACTTATTTATCTATAATAATTATAGTTCTAGGTATATCAAATGTCCTACAAAAAACACTGAATACAGTGATAAAACTAAAGATGTCCACACACACAAGTTGGACATGGTAGCCATGTTCATGTGGTGATATAAATTATGAGTCCGTACTATGTTAGAGATATAATCCTGCTGATTTGCGTGAAGTCTGGAAACCTAACAGAAGATCAGATTATACACAAAATGCTCGCTAAGAAAGGCTCTCAGAGCATTTTACATAGAAACTTTCAATGTTAAGATGAACTTCCAACTTCTAGGATTTTATGTTGGCATGGTTATCCTTTCGTGAAGCATAATTAAATTGTTCTGATTTGTATATAAATGAATTCATATGAAAGTTTCTGCCATATCTTCTATCAATAGTGAAAAACACTACAACTAACTCGAATGTGAAATAGATGGATATCAACAAATATGGACTCATCGCAAATAATTGGAAGATCAGGAAACCTTGACACTGAGTGCACATATTACTTGATGAAATATATGAAAATATGAATTGGAAAGAATCATTACCATTAATTGTCAACCTACCTAATACTATTTTGATGGAAATATGAATTTATTTAACATATAAGGTAGGGTTCTGGTCGAGAATTTAAAGGCAGATTCATAACAGCTCTATAATGTTTCCAGAAGTCTTGTCAGTTCCCAATAGGCTTATGCGATACTTACCACGGAGCTCGCAAATCCTATTTGTGCATTTATACTGAAAATGGTATTAGAGATAAACCTTATTTAAGACCCTTGAAGGCGAATAATCAATCTACTTGTTTTAGGAGTTCTTCTTGGATAAAATATGATACTTGTATATCCTTTTGCAGGAATTGCTGTTCTTTGTGATATGACTATCACAACATGTTTGGTCACTCTAATAATGGTCATGATATGGAAAAAGAGCATTTGGCAAATATTACCATTCTTTGTCGTTTTTGGCGGAGCAGAGCTTACATATCTATCTTCAGTCCTATCCAAATTTGTTCAAGGTGGCTTCCTCCCGCTCGTCTTCTCATTTTTCCTCATGCAGATCATGGCCATATGGCACTACGTACATGTCAAAAGATACAAATTTGAGGTTGAGAACAAAATATCCAACACTTACATAAAAGACTTGGCTCTTAGACAGGACATAAAAAGGATCTCTGGGGTTGGATTTCTGTATTCGGAAGTAGCACTACAACAAATTGCACTTTTTGCGACGCTTATTCCCGACGCATGGTTAAATACGTCGCCAAAAACTATTTTTTTCCCGACGCTTTTAGTTAGCGTCGGCAAAAAATATATTTTTCCCGACGTTTATAATTAGCGCCGCTAAAAGTGTATATTATTAGCGACGTTTTAACTTAGCGTCGGTAAAAGTTATGGATTTCCCGACGTTTTTTCATTTTCGTTGGCAAAAGTATAGCTTTTTAGCGACGTTTTAGGATTAGCGTCGCCAATAGTATGCATTTATCGCGACGTATTAGGCTAACGTCGCTAAAAGTGATCTTTTCCCAACGTATGTAGTTGGCGTCGCTAAAAGTTATATTTTTTACGACGCTTTATTATTTCTCCGCGTCGCCAAAACCCAACCCCCCGCTCCCCCAAATTTCCCCACTCGTACAAGGGAGGGAAAATTTCCCCCTTTTATTTTCACGAAGAGCCCCTACCCCCCCCGTCTCTCATCAAAAATTCACCATCGTCTACCTGTTAGGAGAAACTGAAGTGGTTGCAGGAAAGAATTCTTCGATTATTAAGAGAATAGTTGTCGATTATGTTTACAACTTCATGAGGAGAAACTTTCGGCAGGGAGGAGAGGCTATGAAGATTCCAAGGAGTAAGTTACTCAAGGTGGGAATGACCTATGAGATATAAGTTAACGGCAGGCATCACCTAATTTGTCTATACAGTTTCTTTTGCTTTTAATCAACAAGAATGTTGTTGCTGAGGAGCGTATGAATAAATGATGTTTGATGTGTCAGAGTTTTGTAGATAGCACTGCTATACAAAATTTTGTAGCTTGCTCTCTATATTTATTCATACACACAACCAAGCCATGATAAAATTGACCAGAATATGGTGCGTCAATGTCATTTTTGTTATGGGAAGAATACCAGAAATGTACTTATTGGCTAATGACGAATATCGTTGCATGAATTTTTTATGAAAAAATGTAGTCATTTTTAAACTGTTAGGCTTTGAACAGTACTATTGCAAGGCAGAGCTTTTTACATGGTTTACTACTACTTTGACAAGATAAAAACTCTAAGTCATCATCACATCTCAAGTATCAAGTACATTAATCAAGAAATCATCCACATTTATAATTTGAAAAAAGAAGAAGCAAAGATATATCTTTCATTTATATTGACCTACAACCAGCGGAACCATAAATTATGTTCACGTCAAACTAGAATAAGCGGGAAAAAACACCTTGCTAGATGTCATCATGCCAAAAAAATATAAATATGTAACAAATGTATCAAAGTTCCCTCTATATCCGTAACAGAATGTGCAATTACTAAAAACATTATGTCATCCCTTCAAGGAAACTGATATTGTTGAAGCTAGTTCGACAACAACAGATGAAAAAATAACCACTGTATAGGTGTAGATACCAAAAGAAGATCATTAACCAACGGCCACATGCATAATATATAGAACTTTAGATCCTCCAGTAAATAAAGATTTCCTTTCAAATAATCCCAAAAAGCTCTTAACCCTTCCGTTTGAGCAACATTCAGATATTTCAAATTTGTTTTTTCATTTTCTTCTTCTTCTTCCTTTTTTTTTTTGGCTTTACTAAAATGGGAGTACAACACAATATCATAAAACACCGATAAAGATTACTCTTTTAATCGAACATATTAAAGAGCTACATGTACAATCATGGAATTTGCATTCAATGTCAACAAAACATAGATATAAAGAATTGACCACGAGATGTTCTTTAAAAATTACAGAATTCCTAATTAAAAAAATTCAAATTACAAAAAAAAAAGAAAATTGCAAAGTAAGAGTAAGAAATTTCCCACGTTACCTTTAAGAAGCAAGAAATCTCACGGAGTTCTGGGTTAGGGTTTTCCATTATCTCCTGCTAACTCTTGTCGAACTCCCAGAATTGGCCGATTAGGGCAATGCTTTTTCTTTTTCTTTTTTTTAATGCACTGTTTGGATGGAGGGTAGAGAGGGGGAGGGGAAGAGAAATGCAACTTTCACCTTGTTTGGGAGTTTTTTTAAGGAGGGTAGAGAGGAGGAAGGAAGGGGAACGGAGGGTAAAATTGTTTGGTTTTCTTTCCCCCCGATTTGGGCGGTAGAGGAGGGTAAAGGAGGGTAAAGGGGTGTAATGACATTCTTACCCCCATCAAAACAAATAAAAGAGCTGATGTGTTATTAGTATAAAATCATTTATGTAAATTTACATATATTTACTTCCTTTCACCTTCATTCACCTTACTCAACTCCCAAACAACATATTACAACCTGACACTCAAAGATTGTTCAGATTTCTTAAAAAAATTTATTAGAGGCTGTTTGGTTGTGCTTTTTGCGTGGCTAAGGGGGGCGGGGGAGAGTTGCCACATTGGGTTTATTGTCAGATTTCTCCAAACCACACCCTTTGCATGCACATAAAAAATATGGGGTGGCACACGTTAAGCTGACTTGTCCCCAGAAAAACAAATACCCCTAAAAACTTTCGAAATGTGCAGAAAAGCTGAACTGTTGTAAAACTAATAATAATAAACAAGTAACAAACTGAATCTAGTTTAGGGGCTGTTCGTTTGGCCATTTTTTTGGGAAATCAAAGAATAGGAAACCTATTTCCTATAATAATTGTTTTGATGTTGTTTGGTTGGCTTAAAAAAGAAGGAAATTATAGAATAGGAGATGAGATTATATGAGTTGTCACCTTATTATTGGATGATGTGAGTGATTTTTAAAAAAAAAATTGTTTTGAGGTTGTTTGGTTGGTTAAAAAAATAAGGAAATGAATTGGAGGTATATTATTGGATGATGTTTTGAGGTTGTTTGTGTTTGGTTCGTTTTTAAAAATAGGAAAATAGATGAGATGAGATGAGTTGGAGGTATATTATTGGATGATGTGACACGTACTTAAGGAAACCAATTTCTTGTTTTTTTTTGAGGAAATGGATGGAAAGGAATGTTTAATGAGATGAGATGAGTTGTCACAATATTATTGGATGATGTGTGTGATTTTTAAAAATGGGATAAGATGAGTTGTGATGAGTTGGATGATGTGACACATTTCTTGTGTTTGGTTTATTTTTAAAGGTAAGAAAGGAGATGAAATGAGATGAGTTGGAAGATAAAAATAATATTTTATTAGATGTTGTGGGTGAGTTTTAGGGATGGAAATGGATAAAAATATTATTTTATTGATTTCCTAGTACCGATTTCCTTTTTTTGGTTTTTAGGAAACCAACCAAACAGCTCCTAAGGGGTGTTTGTTTCAAATCCTATAATTTTAGGATATGGATTTCACATGAGATTTAAAATCCATAGGTGTTTTATTATGGGTTGGATTTCTAAAATATTGTTTGTTTCATTAATATTTTGAAATTTGGAATACTACAATTTGTAATATTTTGTTTGTTTCAAGCTCAAATTGTAGCATTACCAAATGCCAAAATTTTATAATACGATGAATATACTATCTTGGTGAGGTTACCTCCCACAAAAAAACAAAATAAGGATTTATCAAATACTGTCCAATTGAGAGGTAAGCACACACATTTATAGGATTTGTCAAAATCCTCTCCAATTGAGAGGATTTAGAAAATTCTAAAAATTAGGCACTTTTTTTACTTTTGGAATTCAATATTCTAAAAAAATTCTTAAAACAAACATCATATATGAAATCCCAAAATACAAAAAAAAAAACTCACTTTTTGATCCCAAAACTTGTGATCCATACCAAATGCCAAAATTTTTGATGAAACAAACACCCCCTAAAACAACAGATGATAACATGACAACATGGCAGCTTTGATCTCAACAGCTCATTTTTATTGGCTTTATTATACCAATTGTTTATTAGTATATAATCAAACAATGACTTATCAACTCATATATCGTAACTCATATATCGTTTTGTATGACAAATTACAATGAATATTAATGCACAGATGCAGCTTTATCAGAATTTGGGACTGATGATACAACAAGCAAACTCAGCTTTTCCTGCGATCTTCATGGGGCATTGGCATTAACAGGAATCAGCACAGCACGATATGAGCCCAAGATAAGTAACATGATTTGAGTTGATACGTTCACTTATCTCCATCAAAGCTCCACCTTCTCAAATTCGTGGTGCCCGTTCGTATCTTTGTCGCCTGGAGCTGGTAGTTCCTGGCCCTGACCATTAGAGGTCTTCACTTCAACGTTCTCCTCGATATTGCTCGGTTTTCCCTGCAATTTAGTGAAATGTTCTCAACTAGTGAATAAAAGAATCACCTGGGTACAAATGCCAATTACAATATCATGTCTTAAGAGCGGGAAAAAAAAGTTGGATTTCTTGAAGAGTAGCTGCTGTAATATGATTGTCTTTAAGGCTTTGCTTGAATTAGAAATAGGGATGATCAATTGGTATTTAACCAATTAGATCATTATACATTCATAGATCAGCTGTTCGATTTGGGAAGGAGAGTGGAGAAAGCAGATGACACTTGACAGCGCAACTGGGTTCTTTTATCCCTCAAACTTCCCCTTTATCATCCTTCTCTGCGTGAATGTGCAAAGTGCTAATAGTGTCGGGTTACTTGCTTCAGATTATTTCCTAGCTGAGAGGATAGAAAGGTAAGCCTTTAACTTTGTGCCACAAAACATAATTTATAGTGCCAGTATCTCTGTATAACAGCAGGCTTTTATCTGCTGGCGAGGTTCACTCTTGATCGTAGTTGCTTTGCTCCAAAGCTAGGCACCAAATCTTAGAGCATTGATAATAGGTTGGCAGCCAGCAATCTAAACCGTATAGATTAATTTGGGGCTTTAGAGACTTCGGCTCCAGTTTAGAGAAGAAATATGGAGATCCTGCACTTATGACTTCCACTGATATTGCATACAAGCGGAAGGGAACTGGCACATTACAATATATCAAAATTTCTTTTTGTTCCATTAGGTTGATCTGAATTCTCTGTTTCACTCACGACTGTGTCAGATTCAAACTCTGTAGTATTAGCATTCTATAATAATAGGCCAACTCTGAACAATGTATATTTCAACAATATATAAGATATTAACAAATAAGAGGTTACCTTATTCTTATCTCGCCACCCGAGTCCAAATGGCATAGAAAGCAAGCCTACTTTTCTGGCAGGGAAATCTTGAGATGGATCCTGATTGTATCTTGCCGGTTGATTATCCGCAGAAGGGGTTCTATAGAAAAATTATCACAGTCATGAGGCAAATAAAAAGTCACATATTTACAGATAAATTGTGAGTGAGAATGTTTTTCAGTGGAGGGAGTACATTAAAAAAACACGATCAGAGCAGTAAAAACAAATGTTGTTTAGTACTAGCTGAGGGTCAGGGGGGTTAACGCTGTAATAATGGGAGTCTCGAACTTGATTGTTTCATGTTTCAAATTGAAATAAAAAATCACGACAAATTGTGAAACATTAAAAATGATCCAGCAACGAATACAACAGATATAAGTATGTATAGATTTGTAGGTATGAGACAATCAGCTAGCTTGATACCTTGGAGATTGTAACTTGTCTTGGCTAGATTGATACTGCAGAGTAGCTTCTAACATAGATTCTGCCATTATTGCTCTCTTCTCCATTTTCGCAAGTAAAGACATGGCTTCTTCATACTTTTCCTGCACACATCTGATAAGGTTGGGTAATGCATACAAAATATATTGCTTCCAAGTTCTAGCTAGAAAGTACACTTTCTTGAACACAGACCTAATCTAATGTCCACAACCGAGAAAAGCATATTACAATGTAAAATAAAATTACAGTGTAAATAAACAATAATGATGCAAAATATCAAAGGTGAGAAAGAACCTGGAACACATGAGCAGAATATTTCTGGGCAGCAGCTTCTTGTTCTGCAAATATCCGAGCATCTTCAGTCACTTTCTGCTCTTGTTCTACTCGCATTAGAACCTATAATAGTTATAAGAGAATTTTTACAAAATGTATATACTCCTATGGAGCATCAAGATAAACAAAACAATAGAGATAAGCAAAGTCAAGCAAAAAAAAACCACCTGGAGCATAGCATGTTCTTGTTCCTGCTTGTCTTTAAGAACTTGCTGCAACTGTGATACCTCTTGCTCTAATTCCTCCACCTATCAGAAAATAGTGAAAGAAAATAAGCTTAAGAAAAACGAAGGATTAACATGCATAGGCTAAAGGCACAGAAGTTCAAAAAGAAGTCTTCCTACATATAACTGCTTTTCATGTCCATTCCATTATTATTGACACAAAAATCCATTTAATTAAGGGCTCATGTTTTTTCAACTTTTTTTTTTTATGATAACTATTTTGCAAATTTAAAGTATTTTGTGTGAATACTACATGTTGTGAAGATTGTATTGTGATACGCTACTTTTAGAAGTTTATTTTGACTCATAAACTTTTATTTTCTTATGATAAGAGAGATGGCAGGACGTGGTAGACCCCGTACCAGGAGAGCTACCCAGGCGGAGTCACAGCAGACTCCATCAGAGCAGCAGCCAGCTCAGTCCGAGCCTCAACAGGCACCACCAGAGATTGAGGAGTTGGTGACGACTCATATAGCACCACCGACACCGCCACCACCACCACCAGTAGCTCAGCAGCAGGGAATACCGGCCATTCATGTTAGAGAGAGACCCCCAGAGGCCACGCCTGCAGCTATTCCTTTAGTAGTCCCAGACAGAGCCACAGAGCAGGAGACTTGGCTCCGTATGGTAGAGAGGTACCAGAAGATGAGGGCACCGGAGTTCCAGGGGTCCCCAGACCCTCTTGCAGCCCATAAGTGGAAGGAGGACGTGGGCAACATTCTCGATATACTCGGTGTAGATTCAGTCCAGAAGCAGAGACTGGCATCCTACAGCCTGAAGGGAGATGCCGGGAGGTGGTACCGACTCCAGTTCACTCCAGAGCAGAGGCTGACCCTCACGTGGGAGGACTTTATATATTTCTTCGATGGACATTACATTTCTTCCGCAGCACGGACTGGGAAGGGGACAGTACATTTCTTCTGCAGCACGGACCGGGAAGGAGCTCGAGTTGTCCCGGTTGACTCAGGGGGATATGACCGTGGCAGATTTTGAGAGCAAGTTCATGGAGTTGCTGCATTTCACGAGTATGTGGCAGACAGGAGAGCGTCAGGCTCAGATGTTCTTGGCTGGGCTTCGCCCTAATCTCCGACAGTACCTTGTGTCGAGGAGATTTTATTCAGTCAGGGAGGTAGCTGAGGCTGCCACTTCTCAGGAGATTGAGACCTCTATGTTCCAGAAAGACAAGGGAGGGAAGGCCAAGACCGGACAGAGTGGGGACAAGGGCAAGAAAAAGAGAGGTTTTTCTGGACATCAGCAGCAGCATCAGGGCCCTTATAAAAGGGGAGATCCTGTTTTAACTGTCACAAGGTCGGACATAAGGCATCAGAGTGCCGCAGTGCACCAGCAGGTGCCCAGCAGGAGAAAGGTCCGAACCAGCAGCAGCAGCAGCGCCAGCAGGGCAGAGGTCAGGGCCAGCAGAACAGACTTGAGGCACCGCCAGCAGCTCAGAGGACTGAGGGACAGATTCGGGCAGTTCAGGATGTTTACCAGGGACAGATTATCCCATATTCTCCAGCGCCATCAGCAGAGCAGTCTTCAGCCACGGGCAGGGTATATGCAGTGGTTCCTCGTGATCATGGCGCCAGTGGAGCTGTAGTAGAGGGTACGTTCTTTGTGAACTCTCTTCCCGCCCGTATTCTTTTCGATTCGGGAGCTTCGCATTCTTTCATCTCGCATGCATTTATGGCTAGACTCCAGCTCGTAGCTCAGCCCCTAGACACCCCTCTATCTGTTTCCACCCCTTTAGGTGAGGTATCACTGCTGGAGAGCGTTTGTAGGAGGTGTATCGTCAGTCTAGACGAGTCGGAGTTCATAGTGGATTTGATAGTGTTGCATATGTCCGAGTTCGATGTCATCCTTGGTATGGATTGGTTGTCTTCCTACCATATTAGTATTGACTGCTTTGCGAAGACGGTCAAGTTGCGAGCGTCCGATGGGTCCGAGATGATTATAGCCGCCTCTCAGGGCAATCGACTTGCGGAGTCATTTCTGGCGTACATCGAGGAGGTGATGCGACGGGATCAGGGTGTTGAGTTATTGGAGACTAGAGTGGTCTCAGAGTATCAGGATGTCTTTCAGGACATAGCTGGACTACCTCCGGTGAGAGGGGTGGAGTTTTGTATTGAGTTGCAGCCTGGCACAGCCTCGATATCCCGCGCACCCTATCATATGGCACCAGCTGAGATGAGGGAACTTCAGACCCAGTTGGACGAGTTGTTAGCTCAGGGCTTTATTCGCCGGAGTCATTCTCCGTGGGGCGCGCCGGTCCTCTTCGTGAAGAAGAAGAACGGTAGTATGAGATTATGCATAGATTATAAAGAGTTGAACAAGGTCACTATCCGGAATAGGTACCCACTACCTAGGATTGATGACTTGTTTGACCAGTTGCAGGGTGCCCAGTATTTCTCAAAGATTGATCTTCGTTCTGGCTATCATCAGCTGCGGGTTCGGGATATGGATATTCCCAAGACCGCTTTTCTTACTCGATATGGTTCTTTCGAGTTCTTGGTCATGCCATTTGGGTTGACCAATGCACCCGCGGTATTCATGGACTTGATGAACCGGGTATTCCGTCCCTTCTTAGATCAGTTTGTGATCGTTTTCATCGATGATATTCTCATTTACTCGAGGTCGGAGGCGGATCATGAGGAGCATCTACGGATAGCATTGAGGACTCTTCAGGAGCATCAGCTATATGCTAAGTTCAGCAAGTGCGAGTTTTGGCTTTCAGAAGTCAGATTCCTTGGCCATGTTATCAGTAGAGAGGGCATAGCAGTAGACCCAGCTAAGGTCACGACAGTTCTTGATTGGGAGCCACCGAAGACGGTGACAGAGATTCGCAGCTTTTTAGGTTTGGCTGGATATTATAGGAAGTTCATTTAGGACTTCTCGAAGATT